ACCCATTATTCTTTGTACATACATATGAAACTTTATTACTCAGGTTACATATATTTAAAATAAATAATTTAATTAATTAATACATAAAAGTTTACTAAATCTGAGAAATGACTTAGATAGTTTTGTAAAAAATTAAATATTTAAATATAATAGTTTAAAAATTGTAAAATAATGGAACTTACTATGAGTAATTATCCTTCTGTTATAAAGTAATATTCAATAAACTAACAATGAAAATATTTTTTTTAATGTGGGTATAATTAAAATTGAGTTAAATAAAATGAATTCTAACCTGTTCTTGGTACATACATATGAAAAACGCATATATTTAAAATAAAATTTAAGTAATAAATAAAGTTTACTAAATCCGAGAAATGACTTGGCTAATTTTTAGTAAGTTCCATTAATAAAAAATATATTTAAAATATAAAGGTTTAAAAATTGTAATTTAAATACTTGGATATTGAAAAATAATTTTACTTACTATGAGTAATATTCCTTCTGTTAATTTAATATAGTCTAATATAACTAACAATGAAAATATTTCTGTTTGTAATTTTAAAATTGAAACTAAAATTAAAGTTAAATTGTTTCTTTAGTGAATCCCAAAAAAGCAAATGTAAAATAAAATTAATATGAAATGCCATAAGATTAGCTTTACATGAGAAACATTATATCACTAGGTTTATATATATATAAAAAAAAAAAAAAAAAAAATAAACTTAAACTTGAATTTGTTTAACTAATTGGAGAAATGACTCGGAGAAATAATATCTAAATTAAAAGTTTAAAAAAATTCCAGTTCGTAAATATAAAGTAATATTACATTAAAGTTATAATTTTAAACTTAAAAAAAATTAAAAATTGTTAAAAAGGTAAAAAAATTAGGTTATATATATTTGAAAATAAAATAAATTCTTAATTAATAAATAAATAAAGTTACTAAACCACCAGCTAAAAAATGGAAAAAAAAAAAAAAAAAAATATACTTTGATATGGGAAAATAATCAGGACAGAAACAATGAAAATATTTAAAAATTTTAAAGTTGTAATTTTAGATTTGTAATAAATTGTAATTAAATTGAATAAATTCTATTTCTTTTTAAATAATACTACACATTAAAAAAGTCCAAGAAATAACATTAAAAAGAATCCAAAAATAACACCTATAATAAAATAAAATTAATATTGGATGGCAGTTTACTGAATCTAACCATTTCTGCTGTCTAGGTTCTAATACATTTAATCGTTCTTAAAGGTAAATAAAAATTAAAAAGGAAAATCTTCAAAATTCAAAACCTGTAAAAAACCTCCAGATTTTTTTTTGTGCAGTTGGCTAACGACCTTCTCACTCATTGAAACTGATACAATGAACGATATCATGCAATTTGAGTAGAATATTCTGTAACCATGGAAACCTGTATTAAAAATAATTCCTCAAATTTTTAAAAAGGGGCCATTTTGAAATATATATATATATATATATATATATAAATTCATTGAGCACTATTTTTAAAATAAAAAATATGGATTTTATATCTTACTGTTCTTTCTTTTTTTTTTATATATATATATATATATATATATATATATATATATATATATATAAATATATATTGTTGTAACCAAGTAAATGGTTAAAAGAAATTAAACTGCATTCAAAATATGAGTACAAATTAAAACACACATATCACCGCCTCTATTAATCATGTCCACACGAACCTGTATATGCACAAAAGCTGTCTTTAGTCGTGAAAACAAAATAGTATATTTTTATCATTTCCAAACTCACGATATGAGGCCGTTGGAACAGACAAATCAAATATATCCTAATCTTACGGCTCATACAACAACCTTCAGTAACTATCTACCTGGAATGGCTCTTGGAACCTGTAATGGGTGAAAATTTCGGACAATTCCAATTGGAAAAGGTATCAAACCATCTCTTTTTTCCGCTATGAGTGAGAGGAGGTACGGAGGAGTAATGGATCGCGGAGAGCCAAGTTCGAATTCCAGTCGAATCCATTACATTCACTTACGTGCTAATACCCTTGGGAAAGGTATGAATCCTATTCTTCTCCCCCAGCTATGGGTAAATAGCAGGACAGACTGGGTGGCAACTCGTCTAGGACAATTCGTAATTCAACCTCCAGGTTGGGTGTTGTGCACTAGACTAACAACCTACTCAATTGAAAACTGGCTTGTTATAGTAAGCGCAACGATATCTTGCGGTCCTATGTTCCTCAAGGATTTTAAAGACATAATATATAATGTCAAAAGACGAAGTTCATGGCTGAAGGTATTAAAATTTAGGTTACGCAGTTGGTAGGGAGAGTTGTCCCATGTGTATGCAACAAAAACGTAACTTTTCTTCGTCTCTTGTGGCTCACAAACATTTTTATTTTATATGGATTTTATATTTAGCAAGTTTAGCCATCCCTTCCATAGCTGTTGTCTAAGAAGACATAGATTCATACCTTTCCCAAGGTAAGTGACCAAGTGTGGGTAACTTTTTTGAAGCTGATATTTTTTTGACGGTACTGCAGCCATTTTCAAAGAAGATCATACGCCTAAGCGAAATGGGTAAAATTCGATTTTTCTTTTGTTTGACGAAAAGTTTATTTTTATACCGTATATTTCAGTTTATAAGACGATCTTAAGATCTCACTCTTAAACATTGGACATCGTCTTATACTACAGTCCTAAAAAATAAACCTTAAATTCTAAGATGTTTGTTGGTAAGCTGCCCTCGGCTTCAGTGCGATAATTAATAACGTACATGAAAAGATTTACCTTATCAAATAAACTGATAATAAAAGTAATAAAACCATTTCCGCTTTATATATTACTGACATAAGTTCATAATAAATTGTCTGTTCGAAGAATAATTCCATATCAATGAAATCAACTTGTATCCATGCAAGCTCAGTAGAGAAAATGTAAACATCGAGTTATTGATTGCTTTCACGGCAATGGAATATACTATTTTCGTACATTATCGCACTGTTATTGGCGGTATTTTGTGATTGTTGATGAAGTATAAGTAAATGGTCATTAGTACACCAGGCTGTTTGTTAATGTTTAGATATGAAGGAAGTATTATTCGCAAGAGATCACGTGACTTTTGACTTTTTATTTAATTTCATATACGTAATATTACTAAACACAAACAATATAGTCTTGGTTATTGTAATATTGTAATATAGAAATCATCCTATCTAACCTATTATGTTATTAAAATATTTCTTAGCCCATTTATTTGTTCACAGGACATTTTGCCTTGATTTACCTTATGTCTTTTCAACATTACCAGTAAAGGATAAAAAAAATAAAAAAATACTGATGCAACAATTATCTGTTTTCGTTTTGTTTACATTTATGTTATAGGTATATGATATTGCTTACTTACGTTTATTTTTCTCGTTTGAGTTTAGAATTTTTTGTGTGTGAATGAAAACTTGCTGATGAAGTATTATAAACTAACAGTATGAATTTTATTTAGCATTACCAAAACATTTGACAAAGAAGTATTCATTTTCCTTAGACCAGTTATTCAAAAATATATACTATGATATTTACCACATGAACTACAATGAAAATAGAATGAGAAAGATATGGTATATAATTTTGTTTTTGCGCAGGGGTTCCTCGAGACATGTAATTTATTTTAAGGGTTACGCAAGGCTAAAAATGTTGAGAAACGCTGGTTTAGATATAGGAAAAGAAGAGGAAGAAGAAGAATCGTTATTTGCAAGAGATCACGTGATGAGAGGTAAACAAAATGTCTTCCCTTTTAGGGACGTGTGTAGGAGAAACATATAGAATTGGCTATGTTATTTCGTTTGATTTTGGATTTCTAAGGATAAAGTAACATTTCCAATAACATCATCTTTATACAGGGTGTATCAAAATACTTTTATAAACTTTGAGGGAGGGTTCCTCACACCAAAAACAAGGACAAAACTTCATATAAATATATATCCGTAAATCTTTCGTTTTTGTGTTATTAGGTTTAAAGAAAGTTTACCGTAGCTGGCGCTTAACGTGTGTAGTAGTGAGTTAACTGAAAAGTATCCCGTTTAACAATGGCAAGATATTTATATCGTGGGCAGGCAGATATTATTTTTACACACGACCGCACGAATAGTAATGGACGTGAGGCTGCACGGCTGTTTCAAATTGCGTTTCCACTCCGAAGGTAGCCAAGTCATCCAACCTTTGCTGTCGTTTATCGTCGCGTTGCTGATGCAGGATCCATGGCAGACCAAACTATAGATCGAGGAAGATCTGCTTGTTCACCTGACCACGAAGGACACATCTTATAGGCTGTCCGAGACAATCCAGGTATCAACATATGTCAAGTGGCCTTAGCATGTCATACATCTCATAGTATCGTATGGAGGCTACTCTAGGAGAAGCTTCTGTATCCGTATGCAAGGTCTTTCGCCCTTTGATCACCCGCCACGGGAGAACTTTTTACCGATGGCCTATTGCACAAACTGCTGATCAAATTATGAAGATATATGGCGGTTGACCCAAGACTTGAAGCAGTTACGATTGTAGTGATAAGGAAAACATCCCAATAACTGTTAAACAAAGTAAGGGTTTCTTTTTAGTGTAAGCTAACTTCTTTTACTCAGACACAAAACCTCCCCCAATACAGACAAACAGAAGACATAGATGAAATGGCCAACTAAACTCTCAAAAACACACACACATTATCAATCAAATCCTGTATCGACCAACTAGAATTGTCATACGTATACACATATGAATTATACACACAAAGGTTGCTTGACAGGACAGATACATGAGATCCACTTAACCAATGAAAAATAAAAATAAAAATACCAGAATTTTGTTTTATTCTCCATATTTCGTTTTCTGATGAAGCAAAATTAAAATCGAAACGTTAAATTTTTAACTGTTTACTATTTGTTCCTTATCCTATATATAAGTGTAGCATCAATGTTTCCATTACTCTGGCTACATACCGTTTAATGCATTTATCCATTTTAGTTTTCGTTTCTTCTTTGGTTTTGCTTCCTAGAGATTTAAAAAGATCCTCTTCTTCTTCTTCTTCTTCTTCTTCTATGTCCCGACATCCTGTCTTTTGGCGCTGATGATAAATGTCGTCTTTTTGCTATCTCTCCTAAACCCTGTTCTGCCAAAAATTTACTCAAACTCTCTAGATAGGTTATGCGTTGTATTCCTTTGTCCCTCTTGCTTTCAATATGTCTTGTCAGTGTCATATTTTCTAAGCCTTCTTTCCTGATTATGCGCCCTAGAAACTTCAGCTGTCACTTTCGGATTCTAACCATATGTGTCCTTTTCGTTTCCTCATTTCTTTAAAATTTCGTCGTTGCTCATATGTTCGGTTAATGATATTCTCAGCATCCTTCTGTAGCACCGTATTAGTGTTGCTTCAAGTCCAATTTTCATCTGTTTGCTCGAGTATAGACTCCAGTAGACAAAATAAATACTGTTTAACATAAACGGAGGATTTAATCAAGTACGGGAAATGTATGAATCCAAATCTTCTTCCTTCAGCTATGAGTAAATAGCAGGACAGACGGGGTTCTATTGCCTTGAATGGCAACTGGTCTACCGTAGAAAGAAATGACAACCTACTGCGGGAAGAATGTGCCTCGTCAGTCACGTATCGTAAAATACATATCACGCATGGCACATAATTGACGGGTAATCATAAATATTTATCGGATTAAAAATCAAATGTTTTTTATATATATATATATATATATATATATATATATATATATATATATATATACATTGAGCGTCGATGATAATAAAATAGTGATCGCTGTATAACAGCAGAGTTATAATTGATATTACTAATAAATATTCATGTTTCTGCACCGGTAGCATAAATCTGAATTTCATGCACGATTCAATCGTCGGGTGCTGATTAAAATTAAAATTCTTCAAAAAGCGTCAAGTATCTACTTCATATGTTTATTAAGTGTTTCCGAATATGCAGACCGTTAGACGAAAGAAATATTGCATAACATAAACGGGGCTCTTTACTCAAATACGGGTATCCGTTAAAAATATCGTTTTAAGTAATAGATACATGCTGGATTAAAATCAAATCAAATTGTTTTTTTCGATATATATATATATATATATATATATATAGAGAGAGAGAGAGAGAGAGAGTAAGGAAAAAAAACAGTTGGTATATAATCCAAGTGGGTCCTAATAATATAAAATATTAAATCTGATTCACAAAGAGAGCTCAACGTATTTATTATAACAGAACATATAAATTACACAACAGAGAAATCCAAAATTACCTCATGAGTATAGTCTATTTCAACTGACGCCGCGTATGTCAGTCTTATTCAACCCAAGCGGATGGACTGTATTCAGTGTCATATACAGCCCATCCATCTGGGTTGAATATGACTGAAGTATTCTGGGTCAGTTGAAATAGACTATACCCATGGGGTAATTTGGGATTTCTCTGTTGTTATATATATATATATATATATATATATATATATATATATAGAGAGAGAGAGAGAGAGAGAGGGGGGGAGTAAAGGTAAAATAAATCCATGGGTCCTAGTAATATAAAAATATTAAAATTGATCAACAAAAAAGTTTTTATTTATACAGAGCAATGTGATGAATACTCAATATATATATATATATATATATATATATATATATATATATATATATATATATATATATATTGTGTGTATTTGGGCCGGAATCCCTCGTTCATAAACGTTTCGTTAAAATTTTATACAATTTTTGTTGTGCTGACTGTGTTTGGAAAATAAAACATTCTAAAACTCTAGGTACATAAAAAATCCACACATTGAATTAAGAATAAGAATAAAATCATCCTTGATAATGGCTAAAGTACAGCCGAAAGCCCGCGGACATACAGAGCATTCAGATAATTTCTGCATCATTATGTCAAGCAAAGAAAAAAAATTATATGACCACAAGAAAAATTAAATAAAAACTTAAACGCAGTATCGTTTTTTAACAAAATTTGTATATATATATATATATATATATATATATATATATATATATAATTAACCATAAAATCCCATATCACCTTATGTGGGGAATAGCCTATTTCGGCAGGCGAAGAAATCTGTCGTCTGTTTTATCAACCCCCGTATGGACTGAGTTCGTGCCAGAAATAGAAATGTAACAGGGAAATCTAAAAAAAATAAATATAAAAAAGAACTGTCGAAAAACATTTTTGTGGGTCGGTTTTAAGATTTTAGGCTCAACATATACCAACGGATTTCTTAACTTTCTCTCTCTCTCTCTCTCTCTCTCTCTATCTATCTATCTATATACATATATATATATATAGTCTTAAGATGTGCTATATTTATGGGATAAAGTGCTCAATATCAGGGATAGAGCGTGTGTAAATAGTGTAGATAAATAGTATATATATATATATATATATATATATATAAATTTCAGTTTAAATGAATGCTTTCATTATGCTGACTAAATATTGACGGATGTACTTATGTATTTTCATTTTCGTTTGTTACTTGTTCCGTTTTCAGGATATTTAAAAGAATCACTAATGTTAAATGTTAATGCCTTTGCAACGTCACTTGATAAAATTACTAATGAACAAAACCTTCAAAGAAAACCTTTAAACAACGCCTCGATTAGCGTATCAGCAAGCTGAGTAGTTGCTATAACAATATGCCTCGCGAAATTTCCATCGCTTTTTGTTTCAATTGATAATTCTATATTTAGCAATGCTGTTGCTATTACAGTTATTTTTACTTTTGTTATGTCCGCTAATGGTATTTGTGTCGGCGATATCGATAATAACTTTAATCAAACATTCTGATTAAAATTGACGCGGCGCTGCAAAGTAGCCGAAATTGTTATTCATGAAATTCATAGAGTTTTCTAATGACTAATATGATACATATTTCACGAAAGCCTCCTTCCACAATGCCATACTCATGCCTAAACTGACACAGACGGAAAGAGATGGCGGCCAACTAACAAAAAGAAAGTTGGCCAACGAAGAATATACTCATTGCGTACACGCATGCGTACAATGGCACTTATAAATGTCTGAACTCGTCTGAACGCCAAGAATTTAATGAATGTACACACGTCTATGCAACTAGCTTATATTGATGTTTGCCTACAAACTAAAACGCGAGATGTGTAGCTATGCTTAAACTCACGCATACACGCGTAAAATATTTACTAGACTTCCTGGTATTTAAGATTATACGAAGACGTATTGGGATGGCCAAAGAAGTATTCGAAAAGCTAAGCAGAGTATTTAGAGGCAGAAAAAAACGAAGAAATGTTCGCTGAATAATCTGTTCTATATGCCAGTGAATACTGGACAATCTTCCCAAAGATGAGGAAGCAACTGAAATATGGTTCTACAGAAGGTTGCTGAGGATATCATGGACCGAACCTCTGAGCAACGACGAAGTTTTAGAGATAATGGAAACAAAAAGGAAACTAATACTTAACATCAGGAATCGACAGTTGAGGTTTCTATGGGACATAAAGAGAAAAGAGGGCTTGGAAAATCTGATACTAACAGGACAGATTGAAGACCAGGGGAACAGCTGAAAACAACGCATAACATGATCGTGATTAAATGGATGGCGGAACAGGATTTAGGAGAAATAACAAAAAGACAAAATTTATTAAGAGCTACAAAGGACAGGAAGTTATGGAGAGACATGATCGCCTACGTCCTGAGGGAACACGGCACAATGAAGTAAATTTCAATCGGAATCTATCTATCTATCTACCTATGTGCATTTTACGTCAGTCTGTTTAGATCAGTCTTTATATTTATTTCAGTCTTTTCCACTCTATCTATCTATCTATCTATCTATCTATCTATCTATCTATCTATCTATCTATCAATCTCTGTTCATTTTTACGCCACTCTCTTTAGATTTCACTATGCATTTATTTCAGTCTTTTTTCTATCTATCTATCTATCTATCTATCTATCTATCTATCTATCTATCTATCTATCTATATCAGCCTGTTCATATCTATCTATCTATCTAACTAACTATCTATCTCAGTCTACATTATCTATCTATCTATCTATCTATCTATCTATCTCTGTTCCCATCTATCTATCAATGTCTGTTCCTTTTTACGTCAGTCTGTTTAGATCTCTCAATCTATATATTTCCGTCTTTTCCAATCTATCTATCTATCTATCTATCTATCTATCTATCTATGTAATTCAATTCATATCTATCTATCTATCTATCTATCTATCTATCTATCTATCTATCTCAGCCTGTTCATATCTATCTATCTATCTATCTATCTATCTATCTATCTATCTCAGTCTACATTATCTATCTATCTATCTATCTATCTCTGTTCCCATCTATCTATCAATGTCTGTTCCTTTTTACGTCAGTCTGTTTAGATCTCTCAATGTATATATTTTCGTCTTTTCCAATCTATCTATCTATCTATCTATCTATCTATCTATGTAATTCAATTCATATCTATCTATCTATCTATCTATCTATCTATCTATCTATCTATCTATCCCTGTTCATTTTTACCTCAGTCTGTTTAGATTTCTCCATGTATTTCAGTCTTGTTATTATTATTTTTTATCTATCAGTTCATATGCATTTCTCTACATATCTGCATAAATTTACATAGGAATGTACAATTGAAGGTGCATTTATATATTTACTAAAGTCTGTTTATTTGACATTAAGCTCTATTAGTTGAGCAGTTCATGGGGATCGTCATTGATCTTCAAGATAAAATGTAATACTGAGGTGCATAGATGGGTCTTGTTGATCAGAAACATTGAAGTGCTTGCTAATCGCTCAGTCCATTCATAGTCGAATCATTCCCGTTCTCCCCTAAACGTTTCATCAATGTGACCTTGTTGTAGACGAAGATGAGTTTTGTCTGTACCTATGGGCGCCGCATGGTTAATAACAGTTGGCCGTCGACTTGAAGGGGTTACGGTTATGGAGATGTGGAAGCAAACACTCGGAGATATCTTTCACAGTGTAGCGGTTCTTGGGATGAAGCTCTTTGAATGTGACTACCTACTTACTAATGAAGTACAAAGGAAATGATGTTGAATCGATCATATATATCCTCTCGTTGCGATCTGATATATTATCAGGTCGACATCTCCTGCACACGGCTTCATAATATTCTGCATCGCGCCAAAAGTTATGCACAACTCCCTGACTTTTATCATTTCGTTCAGCGACGGTCGTCAGAAAAAGAGAGAGCCTTAGATGTAAACTACATGATGGGGACGTTAGAATAAAGCAGGTACAAAATATCATACTACTGTAGTAATCGATGAGGAAAAACGTGACACATAAATGCGTAAGAATAGCGAAGTAGTTTTGTTGGTATCCATCTATCCAGGTTTCTCTTGCTATGTGAGTGTCGGGTTTCCAAGCATTTAACAACAACGAAACAACATGTCTTTTAAATGACACATAAAAAGGTTATTTTCTGAAGGAAAAGTGGAAGTAGAACACCAGAAATATACAATAGCAATGAAATATTCAATATTCCTTGCAGTAAAATTTGTTTTATGCAGTAAGTGTTCGTAGTGCGATGTGAATGAAATGTGTCTTTAGAGTCAAAAGCTTCGTAGACGGTTTCTGATTAATCCCTTCTATGTGTGCGTGCACAAGGTCATTAGAGAAGAAAATATTAACAACAGAACCATATGTCTGCTACTATTTATTTAAAATGGAATTTTAACAGGTGGCTGTCCCTTCCATTATTAATAGTAAGTCCTAATGTAAATTTGAAGATGGGTGACTTTCAAGTTTGATTTTAAGTTATTTTTGGGGGAAAAAATTCAATATACACTAAATAACTCAGTATATATATATATATATATATATATATATATATATATATATATATATATATATAGGGTGGCTCAAAATTTACTGACCCTTTTAAATCTTTAATAACTTTTATAATTCTCTTCCGAGATTTTGAGCAATATACATTTTGGCAATTGCAATACACTATACAACAAAATGTCTTAATTTTTAAAGATAATCTTTTTTAAGTCTCCACCATTTTCCGTTTCGCACTGATTGACCCTATCAAACACACTTTGCCTTATATTTGAAAGAATTTTGGGGGTTATGGCACTTATTTCATCCTCAATATTGCGCTTTAAATCATTTACTGTGTGAGGTTTATTCATAAACACCTTCTCTTTAAGGTAGCCCCAAAGGAAGTAATCGGGACTTGTCAGGTCTGGTGATCGAGCTGGACATTTTATTTCGCAACCCCATGAGATGATTCTATCTTGAAAAATGTTTTGGAGAATTTGAATAGTCTCTCTTGCAGTATGAACAGTGCCTCCATCTTGTTGGAACCACATTTGCTCTTGTTGGGCTTGTACCCATGGTTCCCAAAAATTTTGAATCATGGAGCGATATCGAGCTCCTGTCACGGTTGTCTGACTTCCATTCTCATCCTCAAAGAAATATGGGCCAATAATTTCATTTGCTGTTACTCCACACCATACAGTACATTTAACAGGTTGCATCTGGTGCAGCTGAATCAGCTGGGATTCTCAGAACCCCAAATTCTGCAGTTTTGTTTATTGACAAAACTATTAAGATGAAAGTGGGTTTCATCTGACATAATCAACTTCTGAAGGAAACCAAGATCATGGTTCACTAAATCTTGCAGTCTTATTGCATATTCCAATCTTTGTTCATAATCCTGAGGTTGAAGAGCTGCACAAGCTGCATTTTGTAGGGAAACATGTCCATTTCGTGCAGCTTTCTTTGTAAGGAGGAACGCGAAACTTCCATTTGTTGCGATCTTCTCCTGGTTGAAACAGATGGATTTTCTTCAAGGCTTCGCTCCAGTTCTCGTTGATTCGCAACATTTCTTGCCGTACAAGACCTTCCAGATCTCGGGAGATCACAAACTGCACGCTGCTCCTGAAAACGGCTAATTATTCCGCGAATCATGTTTTTCCTCGGGGCTTCTCTGGTATTGAAATGTCGACGGTAAGAAAGCTACGTTTCCGAAATTGACCCATGGGACTCAAAGTACCACTCTACAATGAGGATTAGTTCCTCGGTGCTATATTTGCCCAAGATAACGTCGGAAGGGCATTTTTAAATGGTCTGAAAAAAGAAAAAGAAAATATTCCAAAATAAAAAGTTATGAATTTTTTTCATGGGTCAGTAATTTTGGGCCACCCTGTATATATATATTGAATGCATATATATATATATATATATATATATATATATATATATATATATATATATATATATAAAAAGACCACTTTAAGGTGCCATTATAATAATTTATTTCACCAGAGTCCTTTTAAAGGACGCCGGATCATCAGATAGCACTTGCAAAAATAAAATGAAACGAAAAAGGAAATTAAAATGTATGGATAGTGTAAGTTTTTGTAATTTAACAGAGAGTGTAAAAGGAGTAGTTAGAGAGACATGGTAGAGTTTAGGGAGGGATTAATTTCATATCTCTCTCAAGTATACTTTATATTGGGGGAGGAGGAGTGACCAGACCTTGACCTATTTAGATGGTTAACTTAACGGAAGTGATATATTGAAATGGGAGGGGAGTAGGGAGAAAAGAAAAAGGAAAAAGGAAAAAGAAAGAAGAGGGAGAGGGAAGTAAAGAGAAAGAGGCTGTAATCGGGTTATATATATATATATATATATATATTGAGAGTCTGTATGTAAAAATTCAAATATAAATAAAGCAATCCGTAAAGACAATAAAAGAAAAGATAAACAGCAAACCTTTTTGTGCCAACGCGTTTTGTTGCTGAATATGTAGAACTTTTATTTAGTATGCTGTATCCGTACACACAAGTAACGTGGAGTAAAAAAGAATGTTAATCACTAAAATTTTCAATTAGAGGACGCTCTCAAATATTCCTCTTGTCACACACACACACACACACACACATACATACATACATATATATACATGAGAAATGAATAATGCCTATTCTACAAGGTATTAAATGAAGATTACCTATACTCTTTTGCACTGTACGAATACTTTTTTCGCCCATTAAAATGGATAATGGGATTTATTTCTATTAGATCAATTTTTTTGTTTTCTCTGAATATTTAGTTATTATGCATCTGCGTATAGTTAATTATATGAAAATTATGTTTATTCCTTTATATAATAAATTAAAAATTTGGATCAGTACTAATATTTGTTATCCCCCATATATATATATATATATATATATATATATATATATGTGTGTGTGTGTTTGTGTCTATATATATATATATATATATATATATATATATATGAATGATCAATTCAAATACGCCTTTGATAATACGTGTTTATTCCTGCAGGACTTCTAACAAATGCGCTCAATAGATAAATGAAGCTAAAATATTTGGTAACTTAATAAATAAGAATAATTTCGATAGATTTATCGATCATCTGACCTGACGAGCGAATTGTTGTGAATCCATCGAGTCGTCCAACGAGATACGTTTATTGATCATTTATTGAATACATATATATAGAATAAAATATTTTCGTAGCAATCCTTATTCTATGCATGTTTCCTTAAATATGACCGAAAAGGACTACTTTGCAAGATTTATTTAATTTTTCTTCAGTAGCAAGTCCAGGTATTTTCGGTTTATGTTGTTGTTATTGGTACCCATAACGTCATATTGACGAGCATATATAAATAACCCAGCTGTCATCCAACACAGATGACCGCCTCTCGGTATTAGCCTCATGTCCATCCATATATATATATATATATATATATATATATATATATATATTAGGTCATTCCATAAGTTCTGTCCGAATTTTGAATAAAGAAAACAAGTGACAAACTGTTACATTTAATTACAGATTCAATCAACAATGTATTTTCCCTGATTATCTATGACTTCCTTCCATCTATTAACAAGCTTACTAATTCTATTACTGTAAACTTCTTTTGGCTTTGATTCGAAGAACTTGCAAATGTCAGTTTTAACCTCTTCCTGTGTTACAAAAGCTGTTTCTTCCAACTGATTCTGTAAGCTACGAACAAATGGTAGTCTGAAGAAGCAAGATCGGGAAAATAAGGTGGATGAGGAATTTTCTCCCAACCAAGTTCTTCGATCTTTTGTGACGTGATTCTTGCTGTGTGGGGTCGCGCATTTTCCTGATGAAACATCACCTCTTTTCGATTCACTAGAGCAGGTCTTTTTTCCCTCAAAGCTGGTTCAAACGCTCTAATTGCTGACAGTATATTTGATCATTAATTGTTGCATTAGGTGGTAAGAATTCAAAGTGGATTATTCCTTGGCGATCCCACCAGATTGAAAGAAGGACCTTTTGCCAATGAAGTTCCCTTCTCGGCTGTGGCTGGGGTCCTTCCCCTTTACCAAGCCACTGTCTACGACGCTTAACATTTCGATAAAAGATCCATTTTTCGTCGCCAGTCACAAGTCTATCCAATAAAGGTGAAACAAGTTGGCGAGAATGGAGAGAAGAGCAGATGTCAACTCGGGATTTGAGGTTGTTTTCAGACAATTTAGGAACTTTTCC